CCTGGGGAGGGGCCACACCAACCACAATTTGAGAGCTATGAGCACCAAGTTGAGCAGACCAATGTGCCGGCTTATTCCCATCGCAATGTATGAACTTCCAAACAACCATAATATTAGAGGCAAGCCTATCAATACGATTTATATAATAAACAGCGTTCCATGTTACCGGAGCAATGTGAGTGATCATATCAAATATGGTCTTGTAATCCATCTCAATCTGAATGTGATGCCAATTCAAGTATACATCAATAGTAAGCGCCATTAAAATTGCATGCGCTTCAGCCTCTAATGTGGAATCAGAACAACAAGGAGACCCAGAATATAAAAGACACCTCCCCTTATCATCCCTTGCAACCCCACCAATACCGGGCATTCCCTTATTCCAACTACCGTCGGTATTTATTTTTACCCAAAGAGAGGGAGGAGGAGTCCAAAATACCAAGGACGAAGAGCGGGTAACTCTCGATCGATCCTGCAAAGAATTCCCAATCGAATCGAAATATGAGATACCGGAATAAAAAATATCCTTCATCCCACCCAACCTATGCACTTAGTGGATAAAAGCAAGGATATTAGAAAATACCGTAGTGCAGCCCACTTAACATTAGCATGCTTAATCTCGTTCCTAGCCATCCAGAGGAACCAGCAAATAATAACATGATATATTTGATAAAAATGATTACGCCTTTGCTCCGGATTGCTTAAAAAATGTAGAAAGTAAATTTGAAGTCGGAACTTTAATAGTATCAAACCAAATCCCCCTCATCCTCCAAATTTTTAGAGAAAAGTTTCAGAAAAAAGGGGCAGATGAAAAACAAATGTTCCATAGTTTCTTCCTCATTGTTACAGAATAAACATCTAGAAGCCAATCTTAACCCTTTGAGTTTAAGGATATCATCACAAGGAAGTAATTGGTGAGAATTTCTCCAAGCAAGAAAATACATAGAGGGTGTAAGAACCCGGTTCCAAATGTGATCCCCCCACGAAACAACCTGAAAAGAATGTAAAGAGTGATATATATTTTTAGAAAGAGAGCCATTAATATTCAACTTCACCATGGGTAAATCAGAGTTGTAGGGTTAAAGGGGGTTGTAGAGATGAACTTAGCATTATCCGGCCCAACCAAACTATTTAGAAGAGAAATATTCCAGGAGTCATCCATCCAAGTATCAGCAATCAAGATATTAGACTGCACATCATTAGGATTACAAATAGGAGTATGAGACCAAGAGTCGTGCCAAAAAGACATCTTACCACAGCCCAACTCCCAACTAATAAGTTTAGAGACCCAATCTCTGATTTGAAGTAACCTTTTCCACAATCTTGAATCACCTTTTCTCCATACTACAGTAGAAGGGTGGGAATTTTTGCAATACTTATCCTGTAAAAAAGAAACCCATAAAGACTGACCTTTACGGAAATTGAACCAATGCTTGAATAAATTGATTTCAGCAATATGATGGAGCTGTTTAAACCCCAACCCCCCCGCATAGGTAGGCTTGCAAACTTTCTTCCTTGAACACCATTTCTTACCCAAGTGAGTACCGGGCCACAAAAATTATTAAAACACCGTTCAAGGATCTTTTGGGTACTTTTCTTGATATGAAGAACTTGTAAGGCATATAATGGCATACTTTGCAAAATGCTCCTAAGAACAGTTATGCGACCACCAAATGATGTATGTATGTATGTTTATATATGTATGTATATCTATATATATACGCACACACATCTATACATTTATGTATGTAACATACATACATACATACATACATATATAGATATAGCTCATTACACAGAGAAATAGATAGGGATCAGCACTTTGACAAGAAAGAAAACGGAGAATACGATCAACATTTTATTTCGAAGAAATAACAATTGAGATGAGTGCTAGGGGTTCAAACTCATGGCCTCAAGGATCGAAGTAGACATGAATCACTTGGAGAAAGCCATGGGATACATTTTCTTGAGAAATCTCATTATGATCCAGATCTTTTGGCCTTTGACCGTGAAGGCGCTCCAATTAATTTTGTGAACTTCTAAATTATATTATTAATTGTTTGATTTAGTCCTATTTGAATTGGGGTCCTGATCTTATGGTATCATGCCGGTCATCTCATTAAGCCACACTATCTCTAATGTATATTTGTAAAAGTAGTAGTTTGAATAATTTTATTATCAACTTTTAATGTTTTGGTACATATACCTATGTTCTTTGATATATAATGTAACATTAAAATTCGTGCAAGTTTATGTTTGTACAAAAAGATTGTTGTTCAAACTTAATATCTTACATATATTTTGAGCTAAATTAACTGAATATCAGTTGCATTTCTCTTATATATATATATATATATATTATTCTATGTTGGGCATACTCGCATTGAGTGGTATATATTCTTGGGTTGTATGTATTTTGGGTTTGCTGCATCTTTGCTTTTCTTTACTTTTTTGAGTGGAGTTGTAATGTAGAAAGAGGTACCTGTAGGATTTTATTGTATTTTTTTGTTTTTAGTTGGGATCCACTTTCCCTCTCTCTTTTTGTACTCTCGGTTTAAATTAACACGTAGGGAGTCACGTGTTACGTGTTGCTCTTAAAAAAAAAATTAATATATATTTTTTTATTTTGTGACAAAAATATTAACAATTATTTATATTTATTTAAATGATCAACTAAAAGTAAATTAATCTTTTTTTTTTATTAGTTCTACAGATATTTTTAAAGGTTTTATTTATAATTAAGCCTAAAAATTTGTAATTAAACAAATAATGATAATTAATAATTATTTTGGAACTAAATCCTTTTGACACAAAAAGTTTATACTTAAAATTTATTGAAATTTGTATACATATTTTTTTATCAGCTTTGCTGCTCAAATGTGCCAATAGAAATGTTGGCATATCATGATCTGTCTCATCTGTAACAGCACTTGAATGTTACTAATTTAAAATGAACTTATATGAGGAAAGCATTATTAATGGCAGATAGTTAATCTCAGTGAAATTTGCTAAATCAATAATTCTGAACAATTAACTCTTTTGGGAAGACAGCAGATCAAATACCTAACTTTGTGGAGGCAAATGCTATGGCAGTCTTCAATCTTACTGCATGCCCAATGCCCATCAATAGTACAACCCACACGGCGAAAATATCGTCGTTAGGTCGCCATAAGCCTTGCCCCACCCCGCCACGTTGCCCGAGCAGTACTCTGAATGGTACTCTGTAATTCTTTCCTGTAAAAATAGAAGTTGAAAATAATGTCTCACTATTTGTTTTGATGCTATAATATGGGTTTTGTTTCATTTATATAATATTAGGCGAGTTTTAGAGGCCCCGTTCACGGCAGCTTATAAGTGCGGGGGGTGTTTTTGAAAACACCACGGTACAGTTTGGATCGCACGTTTTGCCCGCTTATCCAAAAACGCGGTACCTGTTTTACACTAAATGCAGGCCGCGGGTCTCAACCCGCCGGCTGAATTTCAGGATAAGCTGTTTATCCTGAAACACACAAGCTTCTCCAAACCCGCCCTTAAAATGAACTTTACCTTTATACATAGAATTTTAATTCTATATTTATATTGAATGATAAAAATATTTCTCATATTTAAAGGGTTATATACATTTAAAGAGCTTGATTATAAATTCATTGTTATGCTTATGATTTTGTTATCCTAAGTTGCATTTGTTTTGTTATTGGTTTTGTGTAATTTGTGTTCATAATAACTAATATTTTGTCTGATTTATTTACAATTGTAATTGTTTGTTAGCTTTAATTAAAAATATTTTAATTATTATTTTTTTAAAGCAAATTAATATGTATAGCACCATATTTGTTCATAAAGTATGATTAAACATTGTATAATGCGGCATGTTCTTTTCTAAGCAGATAACTACAGTATTTAATCATAGTTTTATTTTTAAAATTATTTTTCATATTTTAAGATTTATTTAACAGTTATATTAATTTATTTTGGATATATTAATTATTAACAATTAATCTATATTTTTGGATAAAACTTATTTAAGTTAAAAAGAAAGTAAAATATAATATATAATTTAAAATTACATCCTACTTTTTAATATGTGATATTAAACATCATACAATCAGAATACATACCACGTTGTTTAAATAATTAAGTGTAACTAAAAGTACTTAATCTATCTAATTTCTTATCGTTAGTTATTTCTTCATAACATAAATTTTAATCATATGCATTAAAATAGTTATCACTAAGTGTCTGTTTGGGGGCAGCTGCAACTTATTGGATAATCTGCTGATAACCTAATTAAAAAAAATCTACTAATAAGTTAGGTGCGGTGACAATTAAAAATTTTAATTTTTTGGAAAAGTCAGAAAGATGTCAATGCACTTAGATAGGTACGGTATGAAAATGTTGCTTTCAGCATTTTGAAAACGCAGATTACTCAAGCAGGTCTGATGTGTTTTCAAAACGTCACCGCACCAAATAAACTGCACCAAACCGGCCCAAAAGCTTCAATTCACATGTCATAATTCTCAAAATCAATTTTTATTTAGCAATTATCTCACTTTTGAAGAAATATAAAAAAAATGTTAAAATGGTTAGAAAATAATTAAAATCACACTTTTTATGGAATATAATAAAAAATTAAGTTGCAATCCGCTCACAATCATAACATTTTTAAATGCCTTGACCATTTCAAAAAAGAAAAAGAACAGTACAGTCCAAAATAATGCGACAGAAATTAAGTAAAAGGGATGCAAAATGAATTTAGCATTAGCATTCTATTGTCCCTTCGCCAAACTTTTAGCTGCCAGATCCCTTTTGCCCCTCGCTTTCTCCCCCTCTCTTTCTCCATGTTTTTAATTCCAATGACTTGTGACTATCATGGCATTGAATGCTATGTAAGGAACTGTTGGAGAGGACATTAAAAATAAATAAATAAATAAATAATTAATTAATTAATTAAATGCGTGCATGCATTGAATGGTAAATTTAGTGAAGTGATGGGAGAAGGGCAAAGGCATGCGAGTCATAAGAATGTTGTAGAAGGATATGTTTATCCCAGAGTTCAAATCAGAACATGCTCTTGTTTTCTATACTTGGCAAAAGCACTGCCTTTTCCCTCTCTTTTTCTTCTCTCACGAACATCACATCACATACGAAGCATATTTTCTCTCTCCTCTCTCATCTTTTTCTCTCTCTTCCGGCACTCCACAATTTATCTCCCTCGTTCGCTTCCTGTGCCCTAACACGCTCTAGTTATAACTCTTCTTCTCTGCACAGAGGAGCGCGAAGCAGAGAAGGCGAAGGAAAGCCAGAGAATACCCGGGGGATTGTTGGCGTCTGGTAACCTATATGAGAATATTCTTGATCTTTTAGGGCTCCGTCTTCTAAAAATTGTATTTTTCTTTTTGTACGACATAATTCACAACCAAAAACAAAAAAAAAAATCGTTTTTTTTTTAATAATAGTTTCCAATTTCATTCCTCAATTTCAAGAAATCAGACGACCTGTTCCAGAAAAACCCTAAAAAAACTTTTTTTTTTCTACTTCTTAACAGAGATCTGAGATGGAGCCATTAGCGCTGATAAGCGCCGGGCAGGCTGCTGGAGCAAACGGCGGCGCGGGGAACGGATCTCAGACCGTAAGCACGCCGTGCGCGGGATGCAAATTTCTCCGGCGCAAATGCCAGCCGGACTGCGTCTTCGCGCCCTACTTTCCTCCCGACGAGCCGCAGAAATTCGCGAACGTCCACCGCGTGTTCGGCGCGAGCAACGTGGCGAAGATCCTGAACGAACTGCAGCCGTTTCAGCGGGAGGATGCGGTGAACTCGCTGGCGTATGAGGCGGATATGAGGCTTAGAGATCCGGTGTACGGATGCGTGGGCATTATTTCTGTTCTGCAGCACCAATTGAGGCAGCTGCAATTAGATTTATCGCGGGCGAGAACAGAGCTTTGTAGGTATCAGCAGTTGTTGGTGCCTGTGGGACAAACTCAGCAGCAGCAGCAGCAGCAGCAGAGGTTGGGGGGGATGAGAGGATACGGGGCGGGGATGGAGGTGGGGGGTTATGATGTGGGAATGATGACGGCGGCTGCGGCGGCTGCGTTTGGAGGGCATTTTGGAAGGTTTTCTGGCGCAGCAGGGGTGGATGATCGGCAGAGCACACTTGGCAGTTCCTCATAGAGGTATTCTTCATAACTTATCGTGCTAAATTTTAGGTGCATTTTAATCTGAAACTCTAGTTTAATGAGATGCCAACAAAAATTATTTTTTATTGATTTTGCAATGGGATTCAAATTCAATGGATGATTGTAAAAATGACATTAAGAAAAATGATGGTGCAACTTTTTTGTGAGAAAATACTTGCATGAGTGCTATTTTTATTTCTCATCTCGTTTAGGGTAAGTCATGGTAGACTTTTGCAACAGTGGTGGGGAGAAAGACTTATGCTATTAATGTGCTAGATGCATTTATGGAGGGGGGTGGGGGTGTTATAATAATCATTACTATGATTTTTTTTTTTTTTTTGTTTCATTTCGCATATATTTTCTATTTAATTTGTATGATTTAATGCAATCAATGAATAAATATGACAAAGTATATTTTAAAGGATTTTTCATGAGTACTTGCTAGTGGCAGCAAAATGTGCTCCACAGAGTAACTCCTCTGTAAATCTAATTTAAGTCAGCTCCGAATTTTTGTGCGGTTGACTGTTTCAGGAAGATGGAATAGATAAGTGATGAGAAATTTACTCATTGAAAGCTTTTTTATAGGAAGGACAACGAGATGCATATCATTAACTTCAAATTTACATTTCATGTTGTGATATATAGATGATTATGATAGCTCTCTTCAGATGGTAGATTTTCTTTCCTATGAAATTGCATGTTATGGTGAAATTGAGAATAAATAAGCTCTTGAGTAAAGTGTGTGTTATTTCAACAAATTGTTAAGAGTATGCAGCCCGACCCCATTTCTATTTTGCCTTGCTTCAACTAAAGTTTATCAGAGATAATAATTCGACCAAGGTCTAGTTTTTCATGCACTTTGTTGCTTTAAAATATATTAGTAGCTTATCTATTTATTTATTCCTTTTATTTTTGTTGAACAAGGACCAAGAAGCAAGAGTGACTTCTCATGTGAGAAGGAGATTGCCTTGACATGTGATAATATTAATTTTAGTCTTGCTTTAACGAAATAATATTACGTCCGATTTATCGGATGTGCGGTTCGACAATGTGGACTGCATCATACTGTCGTGCACACGCGTGATGCAATCTATATACCCTTCTAAAAATTCTACTTTTAAAGATAACGATGAAGACGGTCATATATTTCTTTTATGCTTCTCTTTAGTGTATGAAAAACTATTTTGTTATGCAAATGACTTCTGTTTTTAATACTAATGTTGTACCTAGGACACTTACTATTCTTCATTAATTTTCCATCTATTTTCCTTCCGTGCATATTCACTCCTTAATTGCAGGTTCGAGAGCCAAGAGATGCATGCTTTCTCAAAATAACGAGTTCAAAGAGTAGATAGAAGCTTGGACTTTTCCTTCTATGGAATCCATTTGTCAGAGATAGAATTTTAATCCTTTTCCTGTTCTTGCTACCTATCAAAACTTTTAATTTCAGCATTGATTTTAGTCTTTATTTTCTCCACCTAAAAGGGATCCTTGATTGTATCTTTTTATCCAATTTTAATAGCTCTCTATGATATGTTATCAGAACTAACTGTGCTTTCTTCTTTGTATATCAATATTGCATGTTTGATCTGCTAGCATATATATTTTCTTCTGTTTCTCTTACCACATTATATGTTTTCAGCCTATAAATGGTATGCCAAAACAGCTAATGAAAATTGCCTTTAGAGGTTGCAACTCGTGTTCGGCTCGCTAAACAAACGAGTTGAACACGAACACACTTTTTGAGCTCGAAATATAAACGAGTTGTTCACAAACAAAGAGTCGTTTTGACAATCCTAATCATGTAGTCATAAGGTGTTAAGAGTTGGGGCAAGATTTAAAAATTATTGCTTATATTAAAACATGATTTGAATCTAATTTAATAATTTTTATTCTATTTTCTTAATTAATACTTTTAATTGATTATAAATCTTTGTAGCCTTGTAGTCAATTAAATTTTTTAAAAATACAACTCATCAATATATAGATATATAATTGATGAGTAGTATTTCGAGTCAAAACGAGCTAAATACGAACGAACAAATCTTTGTTCGTGTTTGGCTTATTAACCTAGCAAACAAGTTGAACACAAGCTTCTTAAAGAAATCGAACACTAGCAATTCACGAACCACGAGCCGTTTTGACAACCCTATATACAAACAGGCCTACCAAAAAATGGGCACTTTGAGCCCGATAAAAAAAATGACTATAATTAGCAATAATAAAAAAAAAGTTACATTTTATAAATTTAAAATTATAAATAATAT